AGTTCATTCAAAAATGATCACATTCTTTCATAACAATACCTTTACATAAGTTGAGTTGCGTGAATGGCTTTGTTCTTTCACCACACGGGGTTTTTCTCGATGCGGTTACTCGAAAGTAAAGTGTGAGCGACTAACCCTTTATATGAAGAACACTAATACAAAAGTAAGAACATAACGAGGTCTGAAAATGCGGGCAGAAACAACGCATAACGGCGTAATCACTGTGCAAAAGAAGAAGCAAAGATTAAGGAGTAACATAAACATTGGAAAAGTATTTTCTTCAACAGAGTGCTTGAGTAGTCGTAGAAAAAGGCAGATGTAACAGAGCGCCATCCAAGAATAACCATGGCAGCGTGGAAACGCAACAGTATGGTTTTACTAATTAATTGGTAAATCTATAGCGATTTCTATGTAATGCTGGTGATTTGGGTAGAGCTAGTGATAGAGAATATTACATTTGTTGTTTGGATAGAGTTCCCAGTATGTACGTACTTTGTACGAACTATCAAAAATAAGGAACTCCTTACGAACCATGATTTTGGTTAAACTTGAGAAGATAAGGGCAAAAATATCATAAAGACGATTACCCAATTAGCACAGGAAACGCAATGTAATATGATATGTGGGCCTTTCTATTCCTCATACAGAACGATCTCTACCTTCTCATATGATCATGGATTTCTCATCTGAGTTATACATTGAGGGATACGCACAATGGATTTGGCAGTTAATGTAGTACGTAATCACTTTATTCGCACCTCGTGCCCTACATTGACAACTCGCTGCACCAGCCAGACATGGCAAGGTGACATACCACCGTGACCGCGCGAGTGTTCCCTCCCACTACAGGCATAAGTCGTGCCTGTTCACTTGCACACTGTTTCTACCATCTCTTTCCTGCTCTAGGATTTTGTGGAGCAGACTGCATTCGTTGCGATTTGCTTTCACATAAGCAGTATTTTTATAGCAGGTCTCTCTTTTGGCGATACTATGTGAATCCATTGTAGAAACCACAATGTTACTGCAAGCGCACCTCTTTACTTTACACCTCTCTATTGAACAGGCAGCCGTATAAATTGTGTATACAGTCGCCGATTTATGTTGCCCTTGTCACTGTATTATCAATGTTATTTAAGCAAGGGTTTACTTACACAACTTTGAAGTCACGAACCACAGCATCACTGTAGAAAGACCCGCTTGGCAAACAATAAGAAGAGAAGTGCACTACCGCAACCAGGCGAAGCGTATGAAAAGATAAAGAATATTCACGAAATATTCCTGAGACCGATTTTCTATTATGCTCGGTTACATGAGCTTCAAGACTAACTCTGTAAAAAAGCTAGCGGAAAAGCACAACGTAGTTGTGAACGGCAAGAATTAGAATCATTACCACTTCCACCGTTTCTTCAATCATTTGTCAGACAGGAAGAACCCAAGAATGAGGTTGATACAAAATTTTAGATCTTTGCGAACGAAACCTTCAAAGTCCTTAGTTGCTATCGCGCATAGAGATGTTGCTCGAACCTCAAAGAAGTCCGCAAATGTAGCATACATGAGGTACGTAGTCTGATAAAGTTAAAGAAAATTGTACTATCCGTTCTTGATAAAGACGAGGAGTTTTTGGTAACTCCACACCAGTCGGGTCATCGGTTACGAAAGAGAGTCTTGAAAGTGATACCTTTCATCGTCTATCACCTGAGAAGTAATTCAGTAGCCAGTACCGAAAGCTGAACAACTAGTAGGTAAAAGTGGAAAAGGCGGTTGGTTTAAAATCACCACTTATCTCTATACTCGAAGTTGATTTACCAACATTTCTCGTTTTATACACATGGAAACCCGAAATTGGTGTTCAGTGGCGATTTTTGGTCTACCGATCTATCGATATTCAAAATCAGACTTGTAATTAGCTGTGTAGGTGAACGAATGAGTAGAATAACATGGTTTCTAAACCTAATAGTTACCTAATTATTGGAACATATTCCAGCACATCCTGAGAACACCCAGATGTTGCTGGATCGTCTACGTAACGTGCATCCTAGCAGCGTGTATACTATGGAGTCTTTCGACGTTACCGCCCCTTATGCACGCGTGTCAAATGGATCCGCCGCGCAAGCTATCCTCAAACTCCTTATGCAACACGAGGGAGCAGCTAACATGTACAAATTTACGATAAAGGAGTTTACGACATTCTTAAAGGACTGTTAAAATTGTTCAACATCAGATGGCCCAGAAAATACCACGCACGAATAAGAGGGTTGGCAATGGAGCAGCGACTGGCACCAAACTTTGCCATTGCATTTATGTATAAGGTGGAAGCACGGTAACCGATCACCGGATATTACTCTACTGCAGATATATAGATGATTACCTTATCATTTGCTCATTAGAAGAGAAGTGGACAAATGATTTGAGTAATTGAATGACTGTTAGAGTTCATTAAGTTTACCTGTGAGAAACCGAAAGAAAATTGGCTTTTACTGCTATTTATGGCTTCTAAAGAAATATTTCAGAAAGTTCGGATCGACCTATCTGAAAACGGCTACATTACGAAATGGTATCCTAAAGCCAAGTAGTAAAAATATACTCGTTTATAACCCCTCCTTTCACATTCACCCACAAAAGGAGCGCTTGTGAGAAAGATGTTTCGAACAGCCACCAGCGTGTACATAGGAAGAGAGCAGAAAGTGGAATTTCCCAAATTTGGGTGACGAATTTTTAACGGTTACAAAACTGTTGCTTTTCGGGATAGGTGTAGAAGAAAAACAAAGCTCCTAAACAATAAGTCAAGCGAAGATAAGGTCCTATAAATCCCACCTTTCATCACCAACGAAATAAATGCGGCTATAAAAGGTTCCTTAAGAAAGGCCAGTCTAGAAAATTCGGTGACAGTGAACTAAATATCATCGGGCACTCTAAGACCCAGTTACCCCCTAACCGCATGTAGATCGTCTATATATAACTCAAAATTGCATAATTTGCTCTAATGGTAGAGACGGCGCTTGTATGATTTTGAGCAAAGTTTATCAGATCTGTTGTAAAGCATGCGGGAAGGATCACATTGACGAAACGGGAAGACCACTCTGCGGCCGTATTAGTGAACAATTAGTCAATAAACTTAAACATAAGCCAAAAACTCCATTAGGCGCGCATAGGACACAGAGACATAATTTTTAAATAGAATGCTAACTTTTTATTTGTTTCCTATTACAACTTTTTTCACCACCACACCATGCAGGTCCTTCGTTTCGCCCGCCTCTCAGTTAGTTTTCTATCGATCAGTGCCAACAGCAATGGCCGGCAACAGAATTGATCTAGGAGCCCAAATTGGTATTGAACCCAGTTAAGCTGCGGTTGTAGTTGAAATCACGATGTTAACTTTTTACTTGCTCTCTCTCTCACAATCTTTCACTGCAGTTATGTTAAATACAATCGTAATGATTTTGAGCAATTTTAAACCTAACAATTTTTTTCGTGATTTACCCAGGCTCAATGTACTGCTAGAGCCGATGTTCCATGAAACCTTGACTGTATCAAAAGTGGACACGATGCTTGGAACAATTTTTCAGGATTTTATGTTGTGGCTTTTTCTGCTGATTCCCTGTGACACGTCGTCGACCTCTCAGCGATTGTCGCCGTCCAAGCATAAGACGGTAGGTTGGGATAGCGCCGGTGACAAAATCGCATCTGAAATGCTTAGCAATTCTATAAACTTCTCGGTAAGTGCTCATTCATTCATATCACATTTACGAACAGTAAACAAAATCCAAAAAAGGTTTGTTTAGTTTGAAATGACTGTAGTGATTGTTGCACTGTAACAAAGACTTTCGAACTAACGCTAGATAACCGTTATTTCAATTTTCACATGACACGGCATTAAATATTGTACCGGTCTCAGCATATTTTTCATTCATCACGTTTCTTCACATGCATCCTTCACGGCGGTTTTCGAAAATACGTGTGCGTTCGGTGATTGGTAGAGGATATCTTGTTCATTAATGTCGCTGAGTGCTTTTCGAAATGACTCTTCATGGAATTTGGCATAGCCGTGCTAAGGCGGTCCCATGCCTTGTAGACCGGTGTATGCTTCTCAAGCAAGGCTAGTACCAATTTCCAGATCCCGGAAGGATAAGAGTCATCGTCAAAGAGGTCGAGGTGGACCCAGGGCCTTGTGCCAACTTGACGGCATCTCTATCGTTGAGTTGCTCCTATTCAACAGTAAATTGGGAAGGTTGAAAATACAGGTTCGCAAATGATCAATGTTGTCATCCATATTCGAGAATTCTGCTTTTTTTCAATACTATTGCCTTTAATATCACTTTTTGTGCGGTCTTGAAGCTTCTACGGACATTCCTATATTATACAGCTTCTTTGAATATTTTGAATTTGAAATTACTGCTAGACTTCTTCACTGCCTTCCAGTTCTAATAATTTCATATAACCACAATTATTTTCTGCTTTTCTGCTTGCTAATGCCTTGGCCAGCCTTTAGTAATGGGTTTCGATTAGGCAGTATATTGCATGTAAAATTTCCTCCGAACTTCTTATTTGGTTGTTTTAGAATCGGTTTAAAATGGTTATCTTTTTGGCATCCGTCGAGAGGTAAATAGATTACCACCGTGAAACTGGGTTAAAGCAAATACTCCACTGGGNTACGGACATTCCTATATTATGCAGCTTCTTTGAATATTTAGAATTTGAAATTACTGCTAGACTTCTTCACTGCCTTCCAGTTCTAATAATTTCATATAACTACACTTATTTTCTGCTTTTCTGCTTGCTAATGCCTTGGCCAGCCTTTAGTAATGGGTTTCGATTAGGCAGTATATTGCATGTAAAATTTCCTCCGAACTTCTTATTTGGTTGTTTTAGAATCGGTTTAAAATGGTTATCTTTTTGGCATCCGTCGAGAGGTAAATAGATTACCACCGTGAAACTGGGTTAAAGCAAATACTCCACTGGGCGCGCTCAGGACACAGAGACATGACAGAGAAGATTGTAAAGTATAAGTTGCCATCTTCGCTTAATAATCGAAAACTCCAGCGCTCAAACTCTCGAAACATTCTAGATAAATTCCAAGAATTTAAAAATCAAGCGCGGGGAAGATTGCCTCATTATCACGCGAGATTTCACTCAACACCTCAGACTGATGTTTCAACGTCAGAGATGCGCATTACCCGCGCAAGTGAACTCTATGCGGTTACTCTCCTTTTGGGATGCTGATTGGAAGACTCATGTAGAGCAGTGAATTTGTGAAGAAGCTGTTTTTTCATCCAACAAAAACTCGGACAATAAGGTTTTTCGGTGGCGGTTATGGAGGTATTTGACTGACTACATTGCAGTCAGCTCGACCTTCCCAGTGCTTGAAGAAGGCGAAATCTACAGAAATGGCAGGTTTTGCGAATGAAAAGTGTAGTAACAACCCTGTGTTTGCTTATCAAGAAAAGAAGTACAGCTGGAGATTTAATAGACCATTCGCCTTCATACGAAGCTCGTTGCGTTTTAAATGAATTTAATTAACAAAGGTGACCCGAAAGATGACAATACGTTGTGAATTCCGCATCACGATTTCTGTACTTAACCCTTAGGTTGAGTGTAAGGATTAGCAAAAGAGAAAGCAAACTAATGTCCATTAATTACCAGATATTACGTTGAATGACAAAGAAGGAGGAACTCTGTAACCTCTGGCTATTGAATTGCAACCATTTTCTTACGTGCGCTTCAGGTCGACCCATGTGAGGACTTCTTTGAATTCACTTGTGGGAACTGGAAAGCCAGGCACCCAATTCCAAGTTATAGGTCCAGCTACTCTCAATTTAGCGTTCTCCACGACAAAGTTCAAGCAAAAATGAGAGGTAGTAATTACAGTTTATAAAATGACTATGCTTATACAGTGTGCAGATTTGTTCAAAAAAATGCTTCCAACGAACTTTTTGAGGTAAATTGACCTAACTGGAGTTCAGACACTCCGCTATCATGCTTGTATTAATTGGTGCTTATATCATGCTTATAACAAACATCTTTCAGAAATCTTCGAATCAGAAGAGGTGTTCCCGTCGAAATCTGTAACTGCCCTAAAGTTGATGTATCGCAGATGCATGGACCAGCACGAGCTTAACCGAATTGGTGCAAGAAAATTGATAGAGTCAATAAGGGTGAGCCATTTTTGGTGTGCCTGCACTGTGTGGAAGAGGTAGAACACTAAGCCATTTATTTCGACTAGCCAAATGCAACTAAGGAAATAATAATCCACTCCCGTCGACGGACGGTTGGTGAACTAGCCGGGAGAAAGGCCAAGTAAGTGCATGAGTGGGATAGTGAATAGTACCACAAGAACCCTCGGAAAGGGTAGTTAGCGGGTTCGAAGCTCACCTGGTATTCCGAGCTTTGCTCATATCTCAACATCATTGTAGTTTTATTCGCATTATTCCTCGCTGTAAAGAAAATATTACATACCTACTCGAATGGTCTGTGCTCACTAGTTGTGCGAGCCTCAGCTTAATTTCCACTTTTTCGGAGTCTACTGGTTTAGTCATTGTGGTCTCCTGGAATTCCGGGGTCAGCCTAGCCAAAGTCTGAACCAGCTCATCACCACCATTGGCACTCGCCGACCATGTGGATCAGAGTGAGATTTGCCACATTGCAATTACTTTGATACCATGACGGTGGTGGATCCTGGTGCTGGTTTAGTCTTAGTTGGGCTTTCTAAAAGGAACGCCGAACTCCTCAGTTTGAAGGATCCTGCTGGGGAGATGAATTCCTATCTTGGACATCGCAGTCCTACACCCAGGAACACCCTTTCTCTGCTACAATGGAGCAATAAACCGTTGAGAGAAAAAAAATACTAAGCAATAAATAAAAGTTAAATGCAAAGAAATAATAAGTGGGCACNAACGCCGAACTCCTCAGTTTGAAGGATCCTGCTGGGGAGATGAATTCCTATCTTGGACATCGCAGTCCTACACCCAGGAACACCCTTTCTCTGCTACAATGGAGCAATAAACCGTTGAGAGAAAAAAAATACTAAGCAATAAATAAAAGTTAAATGCAAAGAAATAATAAGTGGGCACGCAACATTTTACAAACTTGCTTTTAGCATTCCTTAGTGAATCGTTTTCGGTATATATCAATGTAATATCAGTCAGTAGGCAAGTAACAGATTTAGCAAGTTTTTTATACCTGAGGTATAACGTTTGCTGACGATACAGAACTTTGGGGAGTGGCCGATGTTGGAGGGAAACAATTGGCGTGCTGATCAATTTGATTTGACAACACTTTTTTTCAACATCGCAGCGGTCAGAGGAGTCCATATTTTTATAGACAACTACCTCACGATCGACAACAGAAACGTTTCCCGGAGATTGGTAGAGGTAAAGAATAGGTTATCTCTCCAGCTTTTCGCAAATAGCTTTATAAGCTATTGAAGAACTTGAATAATTTTTCGTATTTTTGTTGAGCAAACGCGAGATGTTATTATTCTTTATTCATGAATAAGCTGACGTTTTGGCGGATTTCGCCTTCCTCAGAAATCACATGGAAGCATAATGTGCGGTTGGTCTTCACGCGACATACTTAGTGGAAACCTCATAGGAAGCGGTGAGTGTGCAAAGCTGTGTTCAATGTGATTGAAATCTTGGTTTAGAGTTTAGAGTTTCTTTGTTTGGTTATGGAAGCGTCTGGCCTGGTGGATTGCTATCAACTTGACCTTCCCAGGCTCTGAGGAAGGCGAAATCCGCCAAAACGTCAGCTTATTCATGAATAAAGAATAATAACACCTCGCATTTGCTCAACAAAAATGCGAAGAATTACTTGATCAATGCCGAGGTTAATAGAAAGTTGTTCGTGGGAGTTACTGCGACTTGAATAATGTTAACGCAATTCACTGTTTAGCACACAAGTTGTAGTCCTACAGCAAAAAAGTTAATTTCTAGTAACCGAAGTCATGTTTTACATAAAGTTGTCCTTTTCTAGTTCGACCAGGGAGAACTTGGGTTAGGTGCTTCCACGCGTGAGTACTATTTGGACAGAGCAAAGTATGGGAAAAAAAATCGCTGCCTACAGACAGTACCTCATCAACAACGTTAGTTCTCAAATTCTTTTTACATAAATGACAGTTTTTCTTTGAAAGAAATAAAAATTAAAAGGCTTGATTTCAGCGTTAAGAAAAAAACTTAGAAAATTGATTATTTAAGGTTAAACTATTTCATGAGGACGTCGGTCTTCCTGTAAATGGAAGTAAAATTGCAAACGATGTGGATGAGATCATCGATCTCGAAACCAAGATGGCGCAAATCCTCGTGGCTGAGAAGGATCGAAGAAACTACACCAAAATGTACAATCTGAGGCATCTCAGTGAACTGCAAACACTTATGCCTTTGGTGGGAATTTCGATTGTCAGAGGTACACAGAGGGATGAAAAAATTTACTTCGAAAGTATGTTCTCTGTCCAATTTTCCTGCCATTACTTTTTCTCTTTTAAACAATGTTCTTCCTTTCAAACGAGTGCTACGTTTAACTATAGAAGTTCATGATCGCTTCTTCCAGTTCTTACTTTAGTACGAAATTTCTCTAATCTGCTCCGAATATCTTAAGGACCGAAGGAATTCAGTATATTTCAGAAGATAGTGATATTTATTAACTAATATAGGAACGAACAGAGTTTCTATAACTGGCGTTGTCAATCAGAAACAAGTTTGAATATTTTTTGTGGTTGCGATTGTTTTTTTAAAGCCTATAAAATCCAAAAAAAAAACAAAAAAAACAGAGCAAAGTCGCTTCCAGAAGTCTGTGCAATTGTCACAACCTCAACTCCTCTAGTGATTAGTAACTTACTATCCAGTTTTTTATTTGTTGAGCTTACACGAGCTTGATAAATTTGTTTATTTCGGCTAACGTTTCGACGTCTTTGTCTTCATCAAGGCCGATGATCCGTGTCGGTGGTTCACAGTTGTTCGTTATCTGGATTTGGCGACTTTGTTGTTGTACCGAGACCGGATCTTCTTCAGTGAACATCGTACGAATGAGCCATGCACACCCGGCTGTATCCTTTTATAGAAAGGGGTTGTTACTGACATGACCATCTGTTGATAATAGTCTGTTTTTCAACGGATAATCCACTCTGTAGCAGTCGATATTACGTTAGCTAGCACAAAGCAAGTAACAAAACGATTTTCAAACCGATCGTCACCTCGGTAGGAAATTATTAGTTATTATTATTAGTCAGTGTCAAAAATCAGCTCCTTTCCGAATGTTAACACATTAGCATTAATGCCTAACTCCGTGTTGCCGACGCATCTGCCTAATACCTGATTTTCTGGCACACATGCAGTGAGTGTATGTCAACTCACACCGGTCTTTACGTACCACCTGGCAAATGGTTCACCTCTTTTCGATCCACTTTTCTCGCCATGATTTCGTTCTCCTGTGTAATTCGCAAATATTTCTGGCGATTCCTCTTTCGCTTACTCTTTAGGTAGTTCTGTGTATTTTCCAGTGATTTCTAAACATTTCGGACTGCTTCATGTGGCAAAAAAGTCGCTCACTGTATAACAACTGCAGCCTTCAATGTTTGGCAGTTGCGTGTAGAAACTTTATGTGGGTGTTTTTAAATATTCCCGTTCCATAATATGGCTATGACCAACCATAGTTGTAGGAAGCATAATAACGATCAATTAATGAACAAAAATCACTTGTACATACTTAACTTATATTAGAAGCTATAGGTCCTTCGGAAACTCTATTATTTTTCGATCAGCGATGCACTTGAGAGGTTGTGATCATGGGGAAAGTATAGAACAAACTTTGCTCTATCGCTCTCATAATAAGTATGGTATTCTTAAAATGTCGTCCTCACCGTTAAGTTTTTTGGAGTCTACGTCTTCAAGAGGTGAAAAATGGGGGCAAAATTTCCGTCTTAAAAGCGAGCCCAACAACAGCAAACATTAACGATGCTCTGTACACCACTATAGTGTCCTAAAGACCTAGTTTTAAGTGATATACACTGGATAAGCTATCGATTGAACATAAAAGGTACAAAAACCTTTATACAACAAGATAAACAGCTGCAAGGAAACTTGTTGGATATCAACTCACTTTGGCCATCGCACGACCAATGAACGAATGGAAATCCATTCATATCGGCCTTCGTAGTTGAAGAATGGACAAAAGCATTTATCAACCACGGCATGTAACAGAAGTGTAATATTTAAAGTTTGGAATTGCGGCAATTAAAGCTAATAAAGTGGCAGTGCTTGCAGATTGACTGGTACAGATATTTCCCTGCTGTTGCTCCAGCTTTCATCAATGACTATCTAGCTGGTAACCCGAAAATGCTCATAATAGAAATCGACTACATGAGAAGGTGCTAGCGATTGTGGAAAGTCGTTTCACTACCTAGCATTCACAAGTGGGTTTTAGAGTCAACCGTCTGATCAGCTCGACTGATCCGAGGATTATCACAAACTATGCCTACCTTCGGTACACCCTCAGTTGGAGCGGCGAGCTCGGCATGCGATATGAGGACATCTACCAGGTTCACAAAAATTCAGTTGCCAATTTTGCCTGCGAACACCTTTTGCTTACGAAAAATCCTGTGGTGTAGAACTATTCGAATCTATGAAATAAAACCACAATGCGTTCTATGTTTTTTTTTATCATAAGCGATTCATATCTTCTGTCATACTAAACCATTTGTTTGAGCGAATGTGAAGTCGCTGTTGCTTCATTGTCGAAAATTACCTTGCTCAAAAATATGCCGTTATGTAGACAAATATTTTGTCAAGCAAGATAACACTCGAAAGTTTCTTTATCGTAAAAACCTTATGTAAGCAAATCTGTTTTAAGAAG